GGTAGGGGAAAGGAAAAAAGGGAAAAGAAAAAATATGAGAAGAGGAAAAAAAATGGAAACAAGGTCTTTGCAAATAGGGAAGGATGGAGGGGGTGAAGGGAGGGCAAGGGAAGGGGAAAAAAATAAGAACCAAGAGACTCATGTAATGGTACAAGACCCCAATGATGAATGAAACTGTATTTTATACCTAAAATGTACCAATAAAGTTAATGAGGAAAAAATATTTAAAAATAAATAAATCTTTAAAGAAGAGATTTGTTATGCAGAGTTTAGATTTTATTTTCAGAGAAGCTGGGGACAAAAATCGTTGGTTGTTTTTTCTTTTCTTTTTTCTTCTTCTCATTCTTATTGTTACTATTGTTGCTGATATTGACCCTAAAGGAGACAAGAGGCAGGAAGACATAGAATGTATTGTTTGGAGTTGTTTTTAGACATGTTAGGCATTCTGCTAAAAATTCGTAGTCTACTTGACCCTGAATCCTCTTTGTGTTTGATCATAGACAGAGTGACAGTGCCATCTTCACAGGCATACACAAAAGGTGGCAAAAATTAGGGGTTGAAGGCTTACTAAAGCACTTTCCTCATTGATAAAATTGGCAGTGACCTTAATCAGTGACTCTGTAAGCTTTTTAGCACTGACAGAAATAACCACTTTTCCCCACTTTTTCTGCTTTCATCCTAGACACTTTTTTTCCTCTGATCTTCAGATATGATACATGTCCCTAGATTTACAGGGCTTTAGAAAACTGATCACTGCATTTTTCTTTCATTTATATTATGATTATTATCAGAATCCCCCCAATATATATTTGAGGAGACTTGATTGGAAAAAACCACAGGATATAGAAAAATATCTATCTATGAGCATAGAAATTAATCAGTTTAAGATCGTTTTAAAAAGTCTGTTTGGTTACCAGTCTTTATAACCCAGCACAAGATAAAATTGCTTTGCTATATGTTATATCCCTTGTCTTTAAATTCCTAGATCTTAGTTACTTTCTGAATATTTGCAGAGTATCAAATTACTGACAGCAGAAAATAGTTTTTGAAAGATAAAAGTTAATAATAAAGGATTATTTTAAGTCATTTGATATTTAGAAACCACTTTATTCTCCATAAATTAGCATGCCACTTCCATCTTCTGTTAATTTTCCAGAAACTGAAATAGTTGAGTATAAACTGGAGCTAAATCAACCACGTCCATCTCAGCAAATCTAGGAGTTTCTAGAACACTCCTAGTTCACAGTGGTGACTAGCTGCATATCATCTGAGTCATGATTAGGACGGACTGAACAATCAACTACTGAGGCCTTCATTTACTTAGCTTGTATAGACACCACGTTGGGTTGTTTCTTTGGCATATAATTTATCTTAATGAAAAAAACACAACTTTAAAAGAATGAGAAGTCACTGTGATAACATCAATAGTGTTCAGCTTTACCTTTATTGATTGATTCTAACCTACAAGTGCTAAGAAGACTAAATCCTCCACCATTACAGAATGTTTACCCTCTGATAGAAAGTCTTTTTTCAGAAAAGAGAACTGTGGTTCACCAATGATACTCAATGCTACGATTATTTAAGTAAATAATTAGCATAGTCCTTAAAATGATGTAATTATATTCTATGATAGATACTATCAGTCCATCTAGGTAACATAATTATAATTTTAAAACTATTGTGTTTCTCCGGATGTTGGTGAGCCTCTTAGTTGATAATGACATTTGAGTAAATAAAAATGTGTTGAAATTTTAATGTCCATTATTAGTAGTATCAGATTATATACACATATATAAAAATAGATATTTTTTCCAAAACTTATATTAACTACACAGTGAAAGCTCCTCTAAGCATAGTTGGCCAACAGTATCTCTGATTGTTCTGGTTACTAATTAAGTAACAGCCAATGATTCCCTTAGAAGGTAATAAAAGTATCCCTATGAAAAAGAAAAACAACAGAGGTAACTAAAAGAGCTACTCAAGCATGTACAAGTGAGGCTCATGGCTGTAGAAAAGAATTCTTGTCTCAGAAGAAGCATCATTATTTAGTAGACCAAATAGGCCATGTTCAAAATGTTCCTTACAGTAAACCAAATAGGGCTTCAAATCAGGGAAATGTTACCTATTACATCATATATATAAAACATCCATAGGAAATACAGTGGTACTTTGGGTTACTAAATTAAATATCTCCACAATTCTGGTCGCAAACTGAACTGGACAAGAACTGAATCAAATTCCTTCAAAAGATCAACATTAAACCAAACCATTGAATTTGATCCTGTTCTCATCCAACTTGGTTTGCAACCAGAATCATGGAAAGAATCAAGTTCATGAACTGAGGTATCACTGTATAGAATATGTTTTTGGATTATTGACTGCAACAATATTAGATGATATTATTAGGTCCCTATTCCAGATTGAAAAAGCTTACAGATCTATTAAGATAACAAGCAAAGAATATTTATCAATACGACTAGAATTCAGCCCACACATTTCCATGTGGAAACATGTTTGTTGTTTCAGTTTGTCCCAAAGGCATTGAAATCTATGCTTTCCTCTCCCAACTATTTTGCATACACAAGTGGGAAGGCCACAGAAATACTCCAACTCCAAGGTACTCATGATGATTAGTAAAGCCCAAGGGACTGACTGCTCATCAGTTTTTGTCACCATTTAGTCACCATTATCTCATAACTAGTTCCAGACCCCAGAGTTACAAGTGACCTCAGAGTCCTTAAGCCTAACTTTACAAATTGGTTTATCCCCAACTCTGCTTTCTGCCATGGCACAATTACCACCTATTCACCACACCAGGCTCCCTATTAAACATCTAATAACCATAAATATGGGGGAATGAGACTTTAGCTACCTGAACTATGAACCATGGACCTGTGAGTTTCACAGCATAAATATTCCACATTTTTCATCAAGTTAGAAACTATAAACTAAAGTAACAGGAGGGGTCTATTTCCTGCTATTCTTGCTCAGGATACTCTAGAACACCTTCAGATACCATTAAAAAATAGGATATGAATGCCAGTTTGGAGCTAGGATAGCAATCAGAGAATCACTGAGCTACTGTAGTCTTTGTTGTGACCAGGAGAAGAACCACTGAGAGGAGCTGACTTTTTGAAAGTTAGCCTTTGACACATTCCTTATCTTTTCTGATTTTTGATTACCTCATTTGTAACATTTGGATAAAAACAGTACTGCCTTGTAAGGTGGTTGACAAGATTAAATGAATTAATGCTCATGAGGCATTTAGATCAGCACTAACATGCTTCTCAATAAACATTAACTCACACCTTACCATCATCCTTATTAAATAACAAAGGAGCTAACGGGCCAGAATTTGTAGTGTGGCTGCTGGTCTGGCCCATATATGGATAAGTCTGACTGCACATCCATACCTAGAACACAAGATCATCCTGGGACTTGAAAGCTGAGTGGGCTCAGAGGTTTGCCAAGTGAATGTTAGAATTCACAGGACTCCTTACACTGTACCTACCCCTTCTTTCAAAATAAGTCCAATAAGACTCTCATCATGCCTGTTTCTAGGGCATTCTAAGTCCAGACCCCTCCAAATTGTAGGAGGAGAGGAGAGTAATCTTGCTATAGGAGGGGAAAACACTTTAATCACCAGCAGGGACACTTTGTTCACTAAGTTTAATCATCTGTAGAGACCCCTGGTATGCTAAGGACATCTAAGAGACCCGTTCCATGGGATAATTACCTACCATTGCATAGTATGCTTCATTCAGGGTGATTTTCAAACTTTTTAACTAGTATGGCAGAGGTACATAGTCAAATATTAGCTGTAAAAATCAATACTGATGTTTCTGTGCAAAGACTATCAGTCCAGCCCCATTGCCCCTCAATTTTTATAATCACCTAGAATCCAACCAAGTCAACAACAAAAGAGATAACTACTTTTGAACATGATTCCTGCTTGAATTCCAAAGCATTCCACACTGGAACACAGCCTGTTTCTTAAAGTTTCCCTCACTTGTCTTTCTTAAGGCCAGATTCTTCTGGTGAGATTCCTAACTCTCCGCTCATGGCTTCCTCCTTCTTCAGTCCCAATGAGGCTGTCCTGGTTCCTCCCTTTCTACTCTACACTCTGTGCCTTCTCAGTCTTAGCAAATGTCATTGCCTTAATGGTCACTTCCCTGAGACTTGAATTTTTCTTTTCAATCTTTGTCCCTTGGACCAAATTGGTGCCTCTGATCCAGACTCCCAGAAGACCTCTATGCCGCATCCACCATCATGATAATCCCTGGGATCCATTTGTCTCAGTGAACTGGGAGCCTCAGGAGCCCTGAGTTCCTGTCTTTCTTATACACTGCTGGATCCCTGGGCCTAAAAAAATGTGTGGAACATAGCAAGCCTCAAAGTTTCATCTGTGTTTCAATTCTGCTGGAAAATATCTCCAAACTGAAACGGCTTAACTTCCTCTTTGATTTGTATTATGTGCAAACCCTGTAACAAGGTCATTTTGTCCGAGAAACCTGCTCTGCCCTCTCTATTCATTATTCCTCGTTCCAGCTCTGCTCGCTGGCTTCAGAGATCCTGTGGTTTTTCCCTCAGCTGAAGTCTCAACCCTCCTTAAAACATGGTCCATTTTCTTTGTTGGAAGCCTCTTCTGCCTCCTGCTCCTATAACATTGGATCCATACGTCTTTTATGCACTCATCACTCTGGGATGTTTATTATACTTCTTTGTTTACATAGTTTCTTTCAAGGAAAAAGTGTTGTATCATATGGCTAAAGAGTTTTATCACCTGGTACATGTGAAGATACTCAGCAATTATTTGTTAATGAATGATTGAGTGAATGAGTTATTTTAAAGTTCATATAGGTAAATGCAGTACAACATATATATATATATATATATATATATATATATATGCAGTATAGACTTGATACATAAAGTTAAAGTAAAATAAATGCCTTAAAGTATAGCAATTTTTGTATTTGCTCTGTTTCTCCAGGCTTGTACCACACCAGAATATTTGCTTAGCAACTGGAGCACACTCCCACAGAACTGAAGGAAGATACAACTTTTTGGTAAGTAGCATATAAATTTCTACACCGGATGGGAATTAAAAGCTAGTGTCTATGCCTCTTATTTTGTTTAAAGTCCTAGTCCATAAAAATTTTAGATATTCTAGTATCTTTGGAGAGTAGAAGGACTTGATGAATATAGTTTTCAATAACTTATTTTTTATAAACATTAGCATAAAATCTTTTTGGGTTTATAAAATGCTAAGCAAATTCCATATCTTTTTGAAAGGAATTTGTATTTTTAGGGTAAAATGTTTTGAAGTAAAAGAACATACATTCTGAAAAATGTCTAACTTATATATGCACAACTTGATAGATCTTCACAAAGTGAGCACATGCCTCTAATCCAGACCTAGTTAAGGAACAGTACTGCTGGCAACCCAGTTAGAGCTGAGCCCCCCAAAACCTGGGCCCCTTCCAGTTACACCTCTTTCCCGCAACACTCTCCCACCCTCATCAGAGTTCATCACTGTCATGACTTCCAAAATCACAAATTAGTTCCCTTGTTTGCAAATTTCATAAAATTGGAGGGACTATCTTTTGAATGACTTTTAAAATTAAAAAAATAAATAAGCGGGAAGGCCGATTCATTTTCTATTTTTGTTAACAGCTGTTTTGCCCGATGATTTGACACCTAATTGGAGTTGTATTGCTACTATTATTAAACCCAGCAAAGATTACCTATTTTCATTGAGGGTCACTGCTAATTTAGCACTTTTGTCAGATTTGTTCCCCATGTTATATATATATGATATATATATCATATATATATATGCTTAATAAATAATACTCTGCCCAAAATCAGAAAAGACATTCACCATGTCAAATGTTTATAGTAACTGTCTTTTGTAATTAGAGTAAAAGATTTTCTTTTAGCATTGACTGATTAAATTGGTAATTAACATGGGATGAAAATTTTGTATGCTTCCTCAAAGGAACCAAAAAAATAAAGATATTCTTAGATCAGCTAAAGGTTGAATAACATATTTATTAAAGCTCTATTGTATTTAGGATAATAAATGAGGAATAGGATCACATTTATTTTTCAAGGAAGATACCTATCTATCTAGTTATTTATTCTAGATAAGTTTTTACTAACAGCCTCCTAATCTTTGCTAATTTTTAGGCCTCTTTCCAATAAATAGCAATTCGATCCTAACATTTCAAGTGTTTTATTTAATGATCCAAATAGTATCTTATTGATTGGATTCCTAGAGAAAAAGGTATTAGGATTCCTCCTATCCAAAAATTCCCCCCAAAAAATGTTGCTCCCCAATTTCTTTTATAAGATTAAATATTGTGGCTTCTCCTCCTATGTTATTAATTTTCATTTTAGGACATCTGGTACGTTTTTAAAAAGAAATAATTTGTCATCCAAATCATCTCTTTACATTTAGTGACATTAATGATCTGAAAATCACAGTGTGACATTTTATCTAATCTTTCCCATTATATGTGAATTATCCATTCCCCAAAGGAAGTCTTTGACTATGCTCCTAAATTTTGGGATATATTTCAGTTTAGAAGGACCTGCAGGCCTCTATGCCTATGTCACTTCAGCATGTTCTTAAATATGTATTTCGTTTATGTAAATTTTGCATATAAGAAAATATTTAAAGTAGTAATTCATAATAAAGCTTTCTTTAAAACTAGTAAGCTTCTCTCTTAAAGGATATATATGTTATAAATCATTTAATGAGAAAAATTAAAATTGGCATTAAAGGATATAATTGACAATATCTCAACTTTAAAAATGTTAAGGATGACAAAAATAGATACTTGGAATATATTCCATTCAATTATTGATGTCCATAAGTGCAAAAATAAGTTCTTTCTGTAATAAAGGGAGGGTAGGCATCTTCCTATCTACTCCCAATAAGCAACCACTGCTTTAATTTTTGTCATGGGGGTTAATTTTGCCTCTCCTTATACTTCATTTACATAACATCATACAATGTGTGATTTTTCCTTACTTGTTTGCTTTTTTGTTTCTGGCTTCCTTCATTCAATGTGAGGTTTTGGGGTTTCATTCCTGGCATTGAGTGTAACAGTCATACTTTTAAAATGTATAGTAATATTCCATTGAATTAATATGCTCCAATTTTAAACATTCTTTTACTGGACTTTTGGATTGTTTCCAAGTTTTGGATATTACGAAGACAGCTGTTACATTTTGTGGCCAAATATCTTCACTTCTGTTGAGATAATATCAAGGAGTAAAATTTCTTGATGATAGAGCCAGTGTATAACTTTATAATTAAATAACAGGGTTTCAGTACCTTTGTCCCATTCTACACTCACACCAGAAATGTGTGAGTTCTATTTAGGCCAAATCTTCACCAGCATTTGGTGTTATTAGGGTTCTATGTCTGAACATTTTTATGTGACCTCACTGTGGTTTAAATTTGTGTGGCCAAATGACTGATGATGTAGAACACATTCTCAAGTGCTTATTAGCCTTGCATGCATTTTTAATTTTTTTTTATTTTTTTCTGAAATGTCTATTTGAGTCATTTGCCCATTAAGTGTATTTGTTTGCAAAATAAATTTGGGACATAAACCCTTTGCCAGATTTTGTGTATATGAATATTTTCATCTGGTCTGTTTCCTTGTCTATTTTCTTAACTGTCTTTTGATAAATAGGCATTTGATAATATCTACTTGGTCAATATTTCCTTTTATGGTGAATGGTTTCTGTGTATTTTCTGATAAATATTTTCAAGCATCTTTATCTTTTTGGCTCTTACATCTTAACCTATGATGATGCTGAAATAACTTTATACATGGGGTGAGGCAATGGTTAGGATGCATTTTTCATGTATTTATGTGATTATGCTGGTGCAATTTATTGAAAAATAATTCCTTTCCAAATTGAGTAGCTTTGGCATTTTAGTGAAAATCAAGAGATTATACCAGCTTATATCTATTTCTGAACTGTTTATTTTATTTCATTGATCAGTTCTATTATCCCTATACCAATAATTTCATACTATATAGATCATGAGTCTTAAAGTCAAAAGACGGTTTTCTAATTTTCTTTTTCTTCATGATTGTTTTAGATATTTTTATTCTTTACATTTCCTTATATATTTTGGAATTAACTAATCAATTCTACTAAAAAAGCTTTTGGAATTGTGACTGAGAATACATTGAGCCTGTAGTTAAACTTAAAGACAGTAGCTATTTTAACAATTTTGAGTCTCCCAATCCATGTAAGCAGTAACACTCTCCTTTTATTTAGTTCTTTTTCATATTTTACACTTTTCAATTTAGAGCTTTCACATAGCTTTTGTTAAGTTGATTCTTAAATGTTTCATATTTTACAGTATTACAAATTGAATTCAATTTTTTCATTTTCCTATTGTTTTCTGCCAGTAGGTAGAAATTCAATTGATTTTTAAAATATTGACTTTATATCCTGCAACCATTTAAATTTGCTTATTTTTGTTTGAAGGTTATTTTTAGGTCACTTTGAATTTTTATGTAAACAGTCATTTTTCCATGAGTAAAGAGTCTAATTTTAATATGTCTTATGTCTATTTCTTTGTCATTCTTATCTAGGACTACCCATACAATGTTGAATAGAACTGATGAGGAAGATATATATGCCTTATTCTTGATCTCAGGAAGAAAATGCTCAATGTTTTATCATTAAGAATGATGTTAATTTTAGGCTTTTGTGGATGCCTTTTCAGACTATGGGTGTTCCTTTGTATTCCTACTTTGTTAAGTGTTTTCTATAATGAATAAGTACTGAATTTTGTCAAAAGCTTTTCTTTCTGCATCTATTGAAATGATCATATGGTCTTTCTTCTTCTGATACCTTGGTGAATTAAATAGATTTTCTGAGTGCTAAACTCAACTCTCTGTTAATAACCCTTCTCTTGATAGCAATATACATGGTCATTTTGTATCATTCTAAATTTGACTTGATAATATTTTAGAACTTACTTGTCTATATTCAGCAGGGATGTTGATGTCATCTTTGTGTTAGCTTTTCGACACTGAGACAAAATACCTGAGAAAATCATCTTAGAGGAGGAAACGTTTATTTATTTTTGTTTCCAATTTCAGAGGTTTCAGGCCATGGTTTCAGGCTTCATTGTTTCTGGAGCTGTGGTAAAGGAAAAGATCCATCCTTTCAGATTATGTCCCCAGTGACAAACTTTCATTTCCTCCACTAGGGCCCACCTGGGAGCAGCCAATTCAGCTCTGAACTCATGAATAGATGAATCCTCTTGATGACTTTAGAGCCTTTCCGACCCAATCACTTCCCCACAAGCCCGTTAGCTAAAAATCAAACCTTCAACACAGTGGGCCTTTCTAGGGACATTTTGGATCCCAACCATAACAATCTTTTCTTGAAAATAATATTTGCTTAGATTGTATTGCCAGGGTGCTGCCGGTCTCATGAAATGAACTGGAAATTATTTAAGTATGTCCTCCTCCTCCTCCTTTTCTTAAAGGGTTCCTGTAGATTTATTCCTTCCATAAAATTTTTATGGAAATACATCAGAGAACTCGTGTAGACTTGAGGTTTTCTTGGTGGAGAAATTTTTAATTACAACTTTAATTCTTTAAAAGATACTGAGTTATGCACATTTTAAACTTTTTTATATTAATTTTTGCAAATTGTGTTTTTTAGCATATCTATTTCATGTAAGCTCTCAAGTGTATTCCCACAACTGTTCACAATATTCTTTTATTAGCCTTTAGATATCTTAATAAGTGTGTTCATAATCCCTCTTTTATTCTTGATATTGGTAATTTGTGCTTTCTATTTTTTCTTTATCAAGCTTTCAGTCTATTAGTTTTATCACTCTATCAACTTTTGATTTTAGTTTTCTTTATTTTTGTCTATTCTGAATATAATTCAGTTTTTACTCTTAGTTTTACCATTTCCTTTTTTTAGCTCAAATAAGATCTTCCAGTTTTTTAATGAAGTGATTAAAATTATTAACTTTAAGCCTTTCTTCTTTCCTAAGTATCTTAATAC